AACGAGTTGTACCACTCATGTGCTTCCACCACGTCACTGCTAGGCTTGAGTACCACCCGCCCATACGGAACCTGCCTGCCAACCAAAGAACTACATGGAAGCATCTGTGGAACAATCCGAACACTCTGCTGACCGACTGAAAAAACGCTGCTGGTAACCCTGGTATATGCAACAGTCGGCTGTTGGGTTCAAGGTATCCGACAGTGCGTATTAACCGCGGGAGGCAAGGCTAGCCAAGGCTTGACCAGGCACCATCCTAGGCCGACATGCTAGGGCGACAACGACTCAGTCTCCGACAAAGTCTCACGCGACATCTTGCTAGTCACCCGGCGAGTTCCAGGCGCCGCGGAAAACCAGGTAAAAAATGCATCTTGTCACCCACCCCCTGCCCAAACAGAGAGGAAGACTGCACAAATTCGCCAAAAGTACAATACATGTCAAAAGCACGTCGCAGAGGTTCCATTGGTTGAGCATAAGGCATTCTTCCCGCCTTGCTGAGGCCAGCTTCAGGAGGGATTGTGCTCGACATTACATTCATTCCATTCGTGTTACATTAGCCGCTAGCCTCCTGGCCCAGGCGGACCCCCAATTCCCCCAATTCCCCTAAGCCCTGCACCTACAAATCGCGGAAACTTAGAATATCGCCCGAGTACCTCGACATGCTCCCCATAGCATGGATTAAACTAGGTAGGCTAGGTCTGTCGAGAAAGCCTATGGATTTTTTTTCCTGCGGTGTGCTTCGATTTGTAGTGACGGTCAACACCCTGAGTCTTAGACAGCAGAGATATATACATGGTGCGTTCCTGGGGAGAAACAAACCTTAACCCAAAGTAGCGAAACAGCTCGTCATGGAGTGAGTGCGCCCAGCATCAACCACCGAATCTGCGATATCCGGTCGCCTTATCTCACCAGAAAGGCGGGCATGGAAAGAAGAGACACAAATTCTACACCGCGCAGCAAGTCGGCCCTCTCATCCCAAAGGCACGCCTCGCCCATGGCGAGACACAGAGATCACACACACGCCGCCTTTTCCCACCACCACGCAAGATAAGGTGGGACTTTTGTCACGGGGTCACCGATCTTATCGGTCTGAGATGGAACAGTTATGTGTCGGTAGTGTCTGAATACCATAAGCACGGCATCTTACGCCCATCACGCGTCTGCCCCCAGCCCGCAAACTCCATAAGCCCAGATGCTCAACGCGGTGCGAAAGGCGGCTTCTCGATGTTTGGAGGGGATCTCTCTCATGCTACTGATGTAGGGATAGTAGTGGCTGATCAATCTGACTGGCGGGGATAGCCGGCCGACCCTTGAACACTTGGGTGAACTATTTCTGTCGTGGACCAGGTAGTCGTCCCAAACGGGCACTTGCGGCTGGCGGTCTACAGCGCGCTCTACAAATAGTTTGACGGTGCAAATGAAGGCACAAGAGTATAACAGGAGGCATTGCCCCTCGCACGAGCCCCCGGGCATGGGAGTTTGGGGCCTTAAGTAACGCCGGCGAGGCTGCACAGGCAGTTAGGGAGAGGCGGTGTTTCGCTGGAGCCCTTTTTTGGGATGTTCAGGAACCAACGAGTCGAAGCCCACCCCCTCGATCTGTCTCCCATGCAGCAGTGCCGACCACAGAACCCAGCGCAGGACGAGGGAGGCCAGACGGCCATGTGATGCGGTAGACCGGCCGGAGTCTAAAACAGGCCAATCAAACACCCCTGGGCGATGCTTAGGTAACCAGCGCACGGCATGTAGGTACCTGAGAGCGAGAGCCAGGGTTGGGAGCCGCTAAAATTACCAGTACTGTAGGGATTGAAGATGGTTTCCATTCTCCCAGGTTTTGCCCGTCGCGGGCGCATGACTGCAATAAATGCCCGCGATGGAGGAGAATTGCTTGGATTCCACCGTTGTATCCCATAGTGCTCTCTTCTTTCCCTCTTCCCCCTCCAACCTCAGGCAGGGGTCAGAAAAGTCGGGTCTAACGTGGCCATGTCCATGACAACTGACCGTCTGTGCCAAGCAAGCCTGGCGCACACCCCTCCTTCTTTCGGAGCGGGTGGTCCAATTGGCCTGGAATTTCTGGTGTCTACGACTGGGACTGGGGCCGTCCAACCAAGCTCATGGTGTGATCTGCCGTGTGTCCCTGGCAGGAAATAGCAAATGGGTAGATGCGAATCAAGAATGCCTGCTGGATTGGCATGTAGCGATGTCAGAGCAACCTTGCCTCCATGTGAGGGTAAGACGTCTAAGTCTCCAAGAGATGTTGGGTTCGAGGAAAAGAACTGGGGACTCTCCCGCGGATGGGATTTAGAGATTGGGCGGCGCCTGGCAACACCGCGCGCCCTGCCTACTTTACTTACCTTACCTGTAGGGCGTGGGGGGCGTGAAGGTGGAGGTGATATCAGTCATTCAGACACAAAGGTGCATGCAGCTACCTTATGGACCTGCTTTGTTGACCCAAGGGGAAACGTTACGGAGCCTTCTGGGCTGCTGCCAGCAATAGGCCAGCGGGAAATGGGAAGGGAATGCTGAACTGCCAGACCCGCAGAAACACAGATCCATGGATCCAGGATGGCTTCTGCCGCGACACGGCGCCGATCAACGAGGGAGCGAGGGAGCGAGTGCTATGAATACCTACACCCGTACCTGGGCCGGGTAGCTCAACCATGGGAGCCAGGTGTCGGGCTAAAAGGGTGCGCATAGCCCGGCGAATACGTCGCAATTCCTCCATGAACCCGATCCTGTCGGTCGGCCATGCAATGCCATGCGATGCCCATCCACCAAGCAGCTGGGTAGGTAGTCTCTCTACACAGGTGCTCCGGCCTGTGGCAAATGCCTCGCTAAGGCCCGAAGCGACCCTGCGCTTTGTCTTCCCGGTCTTCCACGTTCCCCATGGTCGACACCCTCAACAAATACCCACCGTACAGAATTAGCTTCGCTGCCCTTCCGACGCTACAAACAGCTGCGGTTTGTTAAGCCCATTGTGCACATATATTGGCTGATGGGTGTATGGGCGTGGTTTCAGATGCCAATCTTTGGCCTCAGGTCCCCGCGAGTCCAGCTCGGATGGTCCCCTTTATTACAAGCCGCTTGCCAAGATGAAGCGTCCAAGGAACATGACTGGTAGAGCTGTGATTATTATTATGACCTGCTACCGTCAGCGTAGGGACCGTGCACGGCCAGCCGCCCCTGGTTCCGATTGCTTGCTCATCTCAGTCATCTGGTGCGACAAGCACGTCCTATGCTACCAGGCCAGGATCTCGTCGAGGTACGTACATAGTGCTACGTACCTCGTATGTGCTACTGATGGATATGGTGATCGGGCGGATTTGGCCTTTGGTTTGTTTATTAAGGCTATCTGTGGCTTCCACTGCCCACGCAAGCATTCCAAGATCGACGTCACGCCAGTCATCTCGTAAGGTTGAAAGTGTAAAGTTTGTCAAGCCAGGGTCAGTCCGCGTGGTCTCGTGCGCCTCGGGTCTGCACATGAATTATTTGCTCGCAGTTGCTCATCGATACCTGCCTAACCCTTTGCTAACGCCGTCCCCGAGGATATTGACTGCCCGCCATTGTAGGAATGCCTGCCCGCATGGAGGTCCTCCGTGGCTCGTCATTATTCGACCCGCGTGACATGACAGGTGAGAGGCCCGTAGGCAAGCAAAACAATCATCTTGGTACTTTACTCAATTCGGAGCCAAATCACGTTGGCGTGAAGTCACTGCAAAGCCACCAACGAATGTACGTAGGTAAATCTGCTCTACGGACGCCGTGCCTGGTGTCAGCTCGTAAATCTTCTTGTCCCTGAGCCGATCTCCACCGGGGCGACGGCGGCCAGTGACTCTTCTCAAACCTTCCTTCGCCAGCCTTGGTAATCATGCTGGTAGGTAGGTAGGCGGTGTTACCCACCGGGCAGAGCCACGAGGGCCCTGGCGGACTCTCTCTCGCCCCGTGAACTGGCATGATGCAGTGATTGACGACGGGGCGCACGGCACACGGAGGACTTGCCGCTGGCAGCCAATACAGCATCGGAGGATGAGGACGTCGCTGACTGCCTGGCTGGCTGGTTGATTGATTGATTCTGGCCCCCAGAGCCTCTACACCACGGCCATTGTATGCCAAGGCGACGTCGGAGCAGCACCTTGGGCCAAGGCACGAGGGGGCTAGGCCATTACTTACAGCAGTACCAGCACTAAAGAAGTGAGGCCTGGCTGCGCTGCCACACCACACCTGATCAGTCCGCGCAGTGGAAAGGTGACCTAGGTGCTAGGTGGTAGCTAGTTTCATCCAGACACGCCCTGTGCAGGCCCCACCGCACCCATTCTCGCCCTCCCGACAGAGTCCCAGACTCCTAAATGGTGCTCCCCATGTCCCCACCAGCGCCCCATCCATGTCGTATGTCTGCATCTCGCTGGTGAGCCTGTGTTGCCTTGTCCCAGCCCAGCCCAGCTCGTCCAATCCATCAGATTTCCTAGGCCGTCTTTCTCCTCCCTGTTCTTGTTCCGTTATGGAGAGCTTCCTGCCTCATCGTTGGTAGCCCATCCTGTCGGTCTTGCGAGGAGAGAAGCTGCATTGTTTGTTTCTTTTCTCTGGCGCCATTGTCACGGTTCTCTCCCGCCCGTCTCTTGTTCACTGCGGAATAGGCGAGTTCAGTGGGTGAATCGCCTTTGTCTAGCGGCCCAGCAAGCTGGGCTGCCCGCCCATACCACTCGTCCAGGGACGAACAGAATCACGGGAATCGTTGGTGGCCGTGTTCCACAACGAATTGCCTTGTCATAGCAATTCTCCAAAAGAGCTTGCTTTATAAAGGCCTCTACCACTGTGTTTTAACTGTGTAGCGTCTCAACATTGAGCCGCGACTTGATACCCTTCTTCTACGCCATTCCGAGATCCGCCGCGTATGATACTCGAGATACTCGACCTCAAGTCAACAGCCGACAACCTCGTGACGAAGCGTTGAGATCGGATTACGAATAACGAACCCGACCGAACACCCGAGACCGATTGAAAACATGAGTTCTCTCAAGATCCCCGATAATGGGGTCATGCTGAAGGGGAGCGCCAGCGCAGACGCCGGTTCGCTGCCCCATCAAGCATTTGCCATTTCGCTGAGCGACAATGTAATTGAGAACATGATAAAATGTGTGCAGACTGGGGGTGACATTTCCCTGGCCCTGGGAGAAAATCCCGTAAGTGAATGGTGCCTGGCGTACCTTTTGCCAGAACTCAGATCTCCCTCACCTGAGCCTCACCTCACCTCGGGCTTTCCCTTGAGCCCCGTGCCCAAGCCGGTCCCTTAGCAATAGCGGACAATGCATCCTCTGCGTGCACAATGGAGATCAAACTTGACAATAGCGACTGACACAACTTGCAGAGTTTCCACTTTGGTTCGGATTCTCACACGATATCGCGCCCCGAGTCTCAACTCCACGATCTCTATCTTACCAAACCTTTCGAATCAACACGAGAAGCCTATCGGTTACCGCTCACGATGTCGATTTTCAGCAAGCCGAACAAGCTTTTACAGGCCGGCAAGGCTGCCGTCAAGACTCGGATCGAGAGAGTTACGAAGGAGAAGCCGCAGGAGAAGCAGGAGCCTACTCCTAAGCAGAAGAGATCGACAACATCCAGCACCACCTCCTCTTCATCAAATGTTGATTCCGACGTTGAGGTCCTCCGCAAGGAACTCTTGGCTCAGGAAATGGCCAAGGGCAGGTTTGTGCTTGTCCCGACATACCTCAGAATTGGTTTCCATTGATGCTTACAAATGATAGATCGGTGCTTGTTAACACACTTCCCACCGGAAAGAGAGTCTCGAAAGCAAAGGGCAGTTTCCTCACCGGCAGCAGCAACACGCCTCGCTCGGTGCCACAGTCTCCTTCGTTGAAGCCGAACGCCTCCCCTCTCTCTATTATGTCCTCTACCGACCAAGCCAAGGAACGATCGAAGCAGCTCCGCAAGACGCTGGTCCACGAGTTGGCAGTATCCGACCAGACAACCTCATATCTGGAGGGCAAGTTTGACGGGCCAGCTGCGGATTTCCGACCAACTTTGGACAAGGTTGCAGTTATTAGTGGTGGAAGCCTTTGGAAACTTAGAGTGACATATTGGCGAGATCTGGACCCTTATGCATACCAGTACAAGGATGACAAGACACGGAACACCGCAATTGAGAATGCGATCAAGGTCTTCGACAAGCAGAGAATCTCACCTTCTGAGCCTGAATGGCAGCGCTTGCTTCCTGTGGAGGAACGAGGCAAGGGCAAGTCCCTGAGCCGACTTCAAGAGAAGCTTGCCAAAGGCCCACCTAACCCACCTCCCAAGATCACTTTACAAAAGCCTGATGACAGCTCAACCTCCAAGGACGATGATCCATTGATCGAGAAGGCTCAGAAGGTGTCACGTTCAACAAACCCACTGAAGCCGAAGAAGCCTAGTACGCAAGCCGCCGCGAAGCGGGCAGCTAGCAACCCTTCCAAACCCAAGCCATCATCTATCAAGGCCTCTCCTACAAAGCCGAAGACGGTAGCAAAGACCAATGGACGGCCAGCACTCTCCCAAGAATTTATTGAGAACTCGGACTCATCAGGTGACGAGGCGGTAGTGGTTGAGAGACCCAGACCGGTTGAGCCCAAGCCTGTGTCCAAGCCAGCTGCAAAGCCAGCCCCCAAACTTGACGACAAGCCACTACCCAGGCCCAAGCCTAAGACGGCAGCAAAGCAACCAGTACAGCGGACTGCGCTCAAGCGACCACCAACGGACGATGACTCAAGTTCGAGCTCGGGAACTCCCCTGTCGAAGCGACTCAAGATCAAGCAGCCTTTGCCCAGCCAGAAGACGAAGAGCACCCCGATTGAGGTGCGAAAGGCTCACCGCGATGTAAGCGCGCCCTCATCTGGAAGGAACAAGAATACATCGCCCGTCAAGTCCTCACCACTCGCATCTTCGCCTCCGACCAACGCCTCAGAGCTTTCCGAGGACGAACGACGCCTTCCCAAGAAGCGCAAGGCAAACGGAGAGGTCATTGTCGCCCCGGCTGCAAAGAGGCATGCACCATCGGCCGAGGTCATGTCGCAGGCGGCCAAGTTCGAAGCCGCCTACCAGCAATACTACACGCTGCACTTTGAGATTGCGGACCTCAAGAACCCGCCCATGGACAAGCTGGACAGCCTGAACGATTTGCGAAGCCGCCTGCAGGTGATGAAGGCGGAGATTTACAAAAAGCATGGATCGTCTCGACACTGAGGTGTCTGGAGACGCAACGATTCTTCGATTGGAGTTAAAGCAACCGATCCCTAGCCCGAACTTCGGGCGGGACGCACTGGAGTTGGACGGTTCTGATTTCTATATAATTATGTTTTTTTTCTGCATTTTTTTTTTGCCAAACGGGGCAACATAAAACAGGGCCATGCATGCATCGAAACAACTGGAGCTTTTTTTGTTCGGATTCAATATATCCATCAGGGGTTACGCCACACCCCCTCCCCCCCCAATTTCCCCTTCTCCTCTTGTTTTACGGATTTGTTTTTTGCTTTTTGCTTTTCGAATGATACCACGGATTGGCCGACGAAGGTACAATGGGGGCGGACATGGCACTGAAGGACACTGCCGTCCACGTCGGGACAGATAAAGAAGACATGAGGAATTGGCCATACATCGATGATAGCAGCTAGTATAACTCTTGCCAATGGTATTGGAATGAGAATGATAAATCGTCTTGACATGATCCCAATGTTCCACCATCCACTTGGACACGAAGATTGCAAAAACTGGCTGCGCAGAAATGAGATAGGTCATGGCGTTGGCTCTCGCCCGCCCAATGTGATTGCCTTGCATCTAATAGATCACCAGATAGATCGCGGCGAGCCGGATCCGCGCCCTGCAGCCGGCTCAGAATTGATTTGTGACATGTATGAATTTAGGAGGGCTGGAAATGCGAGACCGCAGCGCTGGGAGCTGCAAGGACGATCGCCTTCCCTTTTACCACCGCGTCGGCTGTGTGCATTAGCTGCGCTCGGCTCCCCCTGCTGCAACTGTGCGTGCTGTATGTTTGGATTGGATGCGATCTCGGTTGCACTGCATCGAACGTGCTGTAGGATCCAGATTTGGCACGAGCACAAAGGGGAAATGCTGGGCGCCGATCTTCCCAGTTAGGCATGGGCCTGGACCCTGTGAGATCTCATCCTGGAATCTTCTTCGGAACCTCCCACAATTTGGAGGCCCAGAAAAAAACGACAGAGGTGGGCCTCGTGCTTAGCTCCCGTTTTGATGACCTCCCCCTACTAAAAATCCTCACACTTACGGTCTGGACTGTTGGGCGTTCTTGCCGGGTGGGTTTCTTTTCCTTCTTCTCTGGCTACGGCAATTTCTCCTGTTGCACCACCGACCTCAACTACAGACTGCCCCTTTCTCCCGACTGGTTCACGATGAGTGCGTAAACCATCTTTCGCCGCAGCGCGAGAGAGCAGAAAAAATCCTCTTTTTCTAGAACCCAGCCATCATTTTGTCTTCATTTCCTTACACGAAACAACCCCCGTTGCGATAACTAGTGGAGGTCTTCCAAGCCAAACCTAACCCCGTAACACTAAAATTACGCATTGGCTTTGTCTTGTGGGGAAGAAGATTCCCAAGATAGTTCCACCCTTGCTCTTGCTCGACATACCTTCAAGATGGTTGTGCCTGCGATCGAGGACTTTCCACAGATGTGGCAGCGTCCTAGCTTTGACGTGCTGATGGAGATCCTCCAAAGCCTGGAGCTCAGCCCTCCGATATGGGGTCATAGGCGGCGAGGCTCCGAGGTCGTCCGTGAGCAGCAAGAGACTCTCAACGCTCAGCGGAAGGGCGAGGTTACACGCTACCTTTCATCCGTCATCAGCAGCCCACTCGCCTGGATCGAGGATGAGGATCAGCAAGAGCAACTGTGGACTTGTGCTAGCAAACGCATGTCTGAGCGCTGCGGGAGGACCGCGATGGGGGAAGTGACTAGGTCCTGGCCCTTCGTTAGTGATGGAGTCGCGTATGAGTCCTTTGATCTTATCATCAAGGAGCCGGCTCTCACTGGCGATTCACTCGGGTTCAAGACGTGGGGGTCATCTTATGTGCTGTCGCAGCATCTTCCCGTTCTTGGGTCCACGTCCCTCTTTAAGTTGTTCGACGAATCTCTCGGTCAGCCTCGCCCAGATGTGCTGGAACTTGGATCTGGGACGGGGCTTTTGGGGTTGGCGGCGGCGGCACTGTGGAAAGTGCCCGTTTGGCTGAGTGACTTGCCAGACATCGTACTCAATCTTAAGGAGAATGTCGAGAAGAACACAGCGCTCATCGAGGCAAGGGGAGGGTCGCTGAAGGTTGGGGCTCTCACATGGGGAGGTAAGGGTGAGGATGAGGTTGACCCGGAGCTGTTCGGCGAGCGCTTCCAGTTCAAGGTTCGTATAATCTCCCAAGATATTTCATTGAGATCTTTCTCTTCCGAGCGAGACAAGCTTGGTTCTGGTTACGACTTGTTGTATTTTGCTTACCAGGCGGCTACAGATTGTCCTTGCAGCGGACCCGATGTACGACGACGAGCATCCTGGACTCCTTGCTTCTGCTATTGCGCAGAACCTGGCCCTAGATGTAGATGCGCGTGCCGTAGTCATGGTTCCCCAGCGAGATGATACGACAAAGCGGCTCCTGGGAGATTTCAAAAAGGAGATGTTGGAACTTGACACGCCGCTGTACTGCATAGAGGAGGACGAGCTTGCAGGCCAAGATGACTGGGTTGAGGATGAAGAAGGAGGTAATGTGAGGTGTTGGTTGGGCGTATTTTCGCGAGGAGGATCACGGATGAGCGAAGTTGATCAATGAATCATGGTTGATGATAGAGCAGGCAGATGAACATAGACTAGATTCGTAGACAGATAGACCATTAGACTAAGGTAGAGTAGACGGATAGAAGCAAACGATAGACATCTAAAGACCTTACTCGTTCCAACTTGATACTAGGCTAAGCCATTATGAATGCCAGGAAGGAGCGAATAAGTAGAAAGGGAAGTGTTAGTGGAGGCAGGCAGAAGAAGAGGCCTGGAAGATGTACAGGTACCGCGGCGTGGAGGCAGGGAGCAGGGAGGAAGTAAAGATTTCCCACCACAATCCTTTGTCGTAGCAGTGACCTCCGGTTGTTGGCACTGGGAAGCATCTAGAGGCTGCTTTCGCAAATCATCTGACCTTGATTTGATGCCCCCAGGCTGGCTCGAGTTGAGTCAGCGGCATCTGGAAGCTGTTTGCTGCCCTGAGCACAATCGACAAGTACCAGCCAGACGTTCCGCCAAAAGGACCCGATGCTGCAACTGGCCCAGGCTATCTCTCCCGAGCTATTCAAAACTGCCAAACCTGCCAGGTACCGGGTACCTCTTGAGATGGCTGAGATGCTCAGCTGGCGGTTGACTCACTGGGGCCTTCTCCGGGTCAACTCTACCCGCCGACCACCCACTACTTGCGTTTTCCTCCTTTGCTTTCGGCACGCAGCAAACATCAAACCTGAACAAGTCCAATAAACCCAGATTTAGGCTATTGTCCCTTCTGCAGTATACATCGGCCTTCCCATTGTCTCGCGCCTCGTGGCCCTCCCCCAATCGTCACATTCTCGTGACGGAAAAGCTTCACTGCCCGCCGCCTGACAAAACCGTCTGTGAATCGCAGAGGCTGTGGATTGCGTGTCGTTTCTTCTGTAACGCCGCGGCCTCCTTGCCCCCACTGCTGCTCTTCACCACAGTTCCCCAGCGCTGTTGCTCGGCTTCTCTTGTTCCAAACCCACTCGCCACCCATTCACTCTCGCTTCACTGACGTTTGTACTCACCTGACTTGGCCTCAGTGTTGCCGGCATAAAGCCCAGCTTCCCCTGTATGGTGTGCCTCAGACGTGCTTATCGTCTCCGCCACTATTCGCTTATTTCTATTTTCCTATTCTATTTCTTGCTTTGGCGCTGCTATTCAGTTTCAGCGCACAACCCGAGTCTGAGAAAGGTAGGAACCAAAAGCGAATCACAATTCAAAGAGACGAGACAGGATTTACAGCTGGAAGCAGCGACGACTCTTGTAGAAAATGACTGGTATTTCTCAGTACAAACACGATGAGATTCGGTTCGTCCTCAGGGAGATCGTCAGAAAAACCAAGCTTCCTTCCATCAGCGAAGGCTTCTTCAACCGCTTCACCAAAACTCTGAATCCGAATCAGATTCGATACATCAAGAATAAATATGGAAAGGACCCTACCTTCAAGTGAGTAACAGTCGATCCCATATCATTTCTCTGCATCTATCGCCCATCGTCATGGCCTACATGGCCCATCCATCTTCTGAAACTGGTTAGCTAACTGGATGTCTCTAGGAGTCCCATGATCAACTACCGCGGCGCGAACGCAGCCGACTTGGAAGATTCAGATAATGCTCAAGAAGAGAAGAGTGGTTGGGTAAATCATCCCCTGCTTCTTGCCCCAGAGAATCACACTCCTCGCGAGCAGTCCAAGAGCCCTGAATTATTGGCATCACAGAATCCGATCCCGGCAGGACCTTCTTTGCCAAACCCACTCACAACCACGAAAGGTCATGAGAGTCCAGTTTCTCTCGTCCCTGGTTGGGCGCAGCGACGGGAGCAAGGGATTTACTTCCAACCCATTAACCGTACATTACAGCAGCCCCAAGATCTGAATATTCCCTCTCAAATCCTCCCAGCCGAGCCAGACCTCAGTCAACAACCATTAATACCAGCCGCACAAGCAAGGTAAGCACTTCTCCTGACTGTCATCCCTTCCCTTATAATACGTGACTACTGACCAGCTGAAACCAGTAACATAGCCCAAACCCCCGGCGGTTGGGTTCACCTTCCCCCCTCCCAGTTTCCATATTACACACAGATGCCGGTGGCGAATACTGGATGGGGTCAAGGAGCCCACCAATTCTATCCTGGATCTATTCATAACTCTCCTGTTTTCTTTCCGGACAACTCCATGCCCATTTCGAATCTTCAGGCAGGGTACTATGGCGGCATCGAGCCCGTTTCTCAAGGGTTTCACTACCCAACCCAGTCTCCACGCTTCGTCGATAGTAGTTCTATGAATCAGTATGGAACTTCATCAATACCAGGTTCGATGTGGGCAAAGACCAGAGAAGCTTCGCCATTACCCGTTCACGTCTCTGCCGCCTCTAACAGACAAGAACGCCGTCATAACCCCTATTCAAGACCAATTGTACGGCCGAATACCCGGCCCGCACACAGTCCTGTATCACGACCTCCTTCGCAAGTGGTTACAGATAGTATTTCCCCACCTCTAGTTCCTTCCGGGTCCATGCCGCGATCTTTACAAATGATTCAAGAGAACATCATCTCCTCCCCACGCCCCAACGATGCCCCACCGAGAGCATCTTCATCAAAGAAGGGCCAAACGACCGCTACTCCCTCATCCCGGCCTGAATCTGCTATTCGAACTCGACGACACAATGTGTCTGGGACGGGATACAACGTTCACGGCATAAGGCCGCGCCGGATCGCAAAGGCCGCCCATCTTACCCGGTTTCCCGAATCATACAATGGCGTTTTAAGTAACTTTGTCCACGACATGAGTGAACCAGTTACCGGCGTACCGGAACCGTCATTGCCGTCATTGCCGTCATTGCCGTCACAAACCCCCCGGAATCAGGACGGCCGAGGCACTGGGGGCCACTTTGAGGACCTCAACCTGGATTTTGCTATCGATCCTATTGCAAAATACACCAATTATCCTCCTTCAGAGCCTGAATATGCCGAGATAAAGCCCGGTGGAGGCTCTGGTGCAAGCCCGGAGCTTGTTGACACGGCTCCTTCTCCCACTGGTGCAGGTCCGTCTCTCAGCTTGCCGGCGAGCTCGCAACCTCTGGGATCATCGAATCTTCTCGAATCTATAGAATCCCCTTCTGAGTTTGTGCCAGTTCAGACCACCCCTCTTATTCCTTCGGTGTCACCTTTCTTGCCTACTCATTCTCAAGCTATGAGTTTCAAGCTCAACGCTACTGAGAGGAATGGCGAGAGGGACAAGGGAAAGGAGAAAGGTAAGGAAATAAGCAATGAAGTCATAGAAGCCAGGGAGGCGAGACGACGGCAGGAGATTATTCGAAAGAACAACATTCAAACTGCCCTGAATCAGATGTTCCAGAGGGACGAAGCATTGCGCCGCGCGGCGGGCACGCAGGAAGTCGCTCAGGCTGCATTTGAGACGCAAAATCCACCTAAAACCCAGGGGGAGAGTGCAAGCCAACTCCTCACTCATGGGGAATACCAGAGTTGCGCCAAATCCCAGCACCAGACTGAAGCCTCCGCCTCGAGATCGGACATGCTACCCCTTGATCAGGTTGTTCTCCAGCCACTATCGCCTGGCCAGTCTTCGAAGAACATCACATACGAGGAGATGAAGTCCTGGGGAGAGGGCATGGTTGGAAGCGATGTGTTGCACGAAACTCTCCTCTCTCTGGACTGCGACGCACCCATCGACTCAACCGAGCGGGTGGTTGAGCTATAGTGAGCATTGGTGCAGACGAAAGGCAACGTCGATAGAGATACAACATCAAGGTTTATGATTCGGGTCGAAGGGACCCTGTAGACCATTATTAGGGAGGTTTACGATACGGGATCTACTGTTACGGGGTAACACGTTTGAGCAAGGCGCATTCTGGAGCAAAGGCGTTTTTTGCATACTGGGCATTCTGGTCAGTGTTTCGGGGAACAGGAATTGGGAGCTTTGCAGTAATTTCGTCAAGTTTAGTGTGTTACTTTTGATATTTCCTTCGCTCCTCTGTCATTTCTGCTGAATTGTTTTTTAAAGTACACACTGCTTTGAGTCATCATCAACGTTTGAAAATACTCAAGGAAAGGTCTCGTCACTACCATTCAAAAAAAAGTTCTTGAAAAACACAAATAAATAACATGTCGAAAAAAAAAGCCATAACGAGTCAAAGCCCGGTGTTAGACTCTCATTCTCTCCTCCTCTTTTTTTTTCTGTGACCCTTCCTTTTCACGCTGTTTAATGCTGGATTCATAAAGCCAGGGTATCAAGTGCACAAAATTAGACCGCCCGCTTGCGACGGACTTGTGCTAAATCTCGTCTCAGTAAAATTGGAAAGAAAAAAAAAACATTAATTCATAAGAATAGAAAGTCGTTTGAAGCGTAATACGCACTTTGGCGTCTGTTTATGTGTATAAATATAGGGTGTAGTCATAAATTGTCGATGGGAGGTAAATATTGGGAGGCGGGGGTGGTAATCGGGAACTTGGTATTATGTTGAAATACCCGGGCGGATTCCTTGTCTAAACGACGATGCTGACGTTTCGTCGAGTTTCAACCTCGTCAATGGAGAATTGAAACACGAACCTGAAGAGATCGCGCAGATAGGTGTATCGATGAGAGGACTTGCTGACAACAAATATTGCTTTGGCCATATCATAGGCAGAGACACGCTTGCCCCGAGGAGGTAGAGCATGATGTCGTGGGATGATGGTGTCGGTGAGGACAGAGTTCTTGTATTGTTGTAGGAGGGTTGCGTGGCTAGAGAGGGGCCCGAAGGCACCAGTGGGTAGGCCGTCGACAAACTTCTGTAAGACCAGAGAGCCTGACTTGGGGTCGATGACGGAGTCACGGTTAAAACCAAGATTCATTGCCGCACGAAGGACTAACACCTTGGCGCGCGCAATGTTGGGATCTTCGGCTGTGGCAGTAGTTGTAGCTGTGCTAGAAGTTCTGGTACTTCCGTGGGAGTAACTCGACAAATTCGAAGCATTGCTTGACCATCTTCCAGCGCGGCCACTGTCGCTAGAAGTGCCCAAGACCATGATGTTAGGCATTTGAGGTGATCTACTCTCAGGCGACACTGGGGTATCTTCGAACTCAGTCACTGGCGTCTCAGGAATAAAAGCCGGAAGAGTGTTCCTTTGACGCTCCCTCTCTCGCTCCCGTTCCCGTTCTTTTTCTCGCTCCTGCTCCCGCTCCCGCTCACGATTATCTTGGCGAGCGCTCTTTACACTCTCACGTTTTGAATGAGCTGAACGGACCGATGTTCGACTCTCACGGCCGCTTTGATCGACTGGCTGGTGAGCGAAGAAATTCGTTTGTGTAGGGCGAGGAGTGTTACGGTCAGGATGAACTTGCGTCCAGCCGTGACGGAAAATCTCCATGAGGTCCCAGCAGGCCTGTACAGCGGAGGAAAGCAGTTCCTCGTCCGGTGGTCGACCTTCACGGCTGTTCTGTCGTAAATTGAATAGCATCTCGGCAAGACCCCAGCATGCGCGCAGTAGTTGGTCCGTTTCGTCTTCCGTATCGCCTCTTTGTCTCATTAAACGATGGCACAGGGTGATGTAGAAATCCAGAGTCCTCTCCCGGAAGACCTCTGGAAGGTGCTGGCTATCTTGAGCGCTATAGAGGCTGGGTAGATATGTTGGTTAGCAGGTATTTTAATAGAGACAACTGATTTAGCTTACTGGTTATTCAGCTCGAAGCTCACTCGCAGCACAGAGTCAGCTGCCTCATCTTTTCGCTGTCTGACATCAAAAAGGGCTTGGCAGAAATCGCGACATAAATCAAGGCTAATTCTGACGTTTAAAGATTCTGATTCGCCATCCTTATAGTCGTAAAGTCGTTGGCACAGTTTCCAACAGGTCCTCCATGCCCTCTCGTGTGCATCAGGAGTACCGGAGCTATTGAACACCCTGGTCCGATGAATGGAGCTTAGAGTTGCCAAAGTGTTGCACAAGGTCCAACATTCTTGAAGAGCTGTCCGTAGTGCAGCAACCTCAGGGTTTTCTGGAGCATAATGCAGTTTGTGAACAGAATAGTCATCATCGTCATCACCTTCAGCCTCTGTTTGTTCATCGATTTCTTTCCATATTGTTAGCATAGGTATTTCTAGGGACCCGGGGTGTCAGAACTCACTCTCAAGACTGCTGGTGCTACTTGAGCGCAGCCGTTGGTTCTCTTCCATCATATCTTGCAGATCCTGAGCTCGGGGCGTGGCACTGTCAATACTGTATCTGACAGGTTTGACGTCCGTGGAGAGTATGGGCCTGGACGGCTGCTCCTTGCGCTAGAAGAAATATTAATTTTACTGTGACGCTGACATGAATGCATCATGCTTTACTCACATCTAGCGGGCTCCCATTGAGGACAGCCAATGCTTCCTCATTGGCCTTGGGGGAGCCTTTGCTGTTAGACTGGCTCGATTGAGAGGATGCTTCAGAAGACTTCTGTCTTGAAAGTTAGTAACAAGTTCCTTCTGTTTCGTTTGTCTGCAGAGATCACTCACCCAGCTGGCGAAGCTCTCAGGGGCGTGAATCACAGAGACCGCCTCTTCACTGGGCTGTCTCGCGGCGTCTGGAAGAAAGGTATTGAGCATCAGAATCTACGAGACGACCAGTGTTAGCAATAGGTGGCATGCCATGGCTCCCAAGATCCTGACAAACCTCTGAACGGGGTTGGTCCAGTCCCCTTTCCCCTTCACTTGCGTGCTCGTAATGTAGATCTTCCGACGCTTCATCCTCAATCTCTGTTATCTCTGTGCCGTTCGATGTCACTGGTGATGGGCCGACAATGTCGCTTGGACTTAATAGGTGCATCGAATTGGAGGAGATTCTGTTGACGGAGCTGGGGCGAAGGGTAGAAGAGTCGGTAGAAGGCGGAGGGGAGGAACTGGAAATTGGTTAAGTCAGCCACTGCCCTGGCAGGAAGAAGGTATAATGCGTGGTTCTTGTCATACACTACTCTCGAGGGGCGGAAGCCCTCATTGTCTGAAGCGGACATGTCTGCGAACGAGCCGAATGGGAAGCGCAAGTTTCCAGTTGAGGATCGCAGAGGGGCCTCGAGAGCCATGGTGTAAATATAAGCAATTCACCGATAAATAAATTTGGCCAAGGGTTCCAGCTGAAGATGCGCAAAGCAGCCGGTCAGACAGAATGCCTTGGGTCAGAAACTGCGCCGCCGGTGAATTGTCATTCGCATGAAGCTCGTTACACTGAGGTGTGAAGATAGCTAGAAAGTCCAGCTATACAGGTAGCTAGAGCTTGTGGTTGTTTTCGTTGCCGATCCTGGCGCGCTTGCTGGGTCGCAGGTTTGGGCCTCGCTCGCGGCTAGGATGGGATCGAGGTGAGGTGAGGTGGGCGGATGAGGCCTCGGTCGCGGCGGCCAGTTGCTTTTTACGGCAACAGCACAGAAGCAGCTCGGTGGGCTGTAACCTGGCCAGGCAGAATTGCTCACAGCCAGCTGCGCACGGAGAGAATTGAAGGAGGGAAAGATGAGCAGCCGCGGACGATGGATCTCGGAAGAGCTTGATGCTTGTTTTTAGAAAAGAATGACCCAGCTCTCCTCTTACTGCCCCAACCAACAGGACAGAAGGAAACCAGCGGAATCTGAACACAGACTAATCCAGCACAGCACAGCACATTGCAGCGCAGCCAGCCCGGTTAAGACGTGCGTGGGTGGAATAGCGGCGCGGGGAGAGAGCCAGGCTCTGCAGGGTGGGCGGCTAAGCTAAGACCTAACAGTCATTCACAGGCGACAGGGAATGGAGAAAGTTGTGATGACCCTGGCCGTGCTCTGGAGACTTGTTGGTTGGCTTGGCCAATGAAGCAGTTGTGCTGCTCCTCGCTCAAGACTGGTCCCCACTGCCGGGGGGAGTGATCCTTGAAGCCCAAATGGAGGGTGTGGCTACCGCGAGGAGACAGCAGGCAGGCAGACGGTACATGCATTAGGAACAAAGTGTACATGGCTCATGTGCTGAAATCGCATCGAGGTGGTGGGACGGATCGAATCTCAGTAGGTCGCGAGGCTTGAGACCCTTCAGATGGGCGAATCCTTTCGGATCATTTCGGTTACCAAGAGGGTCTCCCTCGATGCTGCAACTTTGGGAAGGAGCAACTTGAGGTACCTATAGCAGATAGGGTCTATAGCAGGCAGTACCTGAATTGCTAGCAGCCTGCCCCTGGACTTTCCATGCCAGGCGTCGGCCGCGAGTGATAGTGGCTAGGTACCTCACCTATTGCTGGGTACCTTGCGCCATCCTTGCTGAGACTATCTCTCTCTCTCGGGTTGGTGCCCTCCTGTTCAGCTCGATGCACTCTAACCACGGCTCATACTTCCTACCTACCTACCTAATGACAGCAAGCGATGATAGGCAGATGCTTATGCTACTGCATTGAGGCTCCAGCATGAATTAAGATTGACCGACACAGGACTGCGGGCGGCAAGGGACCTGATTGTGTCTTGATCGCCCAGTCAGCACTGACCTACCTATTTGCCCAAAGTGATGGTGGTTGTGAGTGGATGGCAGCTTGAACCAACAGACCAAACCAGCCACCACGTCTATTGACTTAACAAGTGTTCGGCCTAGCATCGCCATCCAGCTGTCATTTTCACTAGTGCGTCCCAGTGGACACTCACGCAGTCCTTCTGCTGTTGGTTGTGATGGTGCACACAACTAGCACGCAGAGCCAGGGTCAATTTCGCCGGCTTCGGTTCCAGCAAGATGGTATGGGCCATGGCTTACCAGCATGAATCCTGCTGTTGGGATGGAGGCTAATGCAATTCGATATCTGCCCGGCTACAGTGAGCGCGGCCGAGTCATCTCCAAACTGAGGGAGACGGTATCCCACCTACATACATTCTAGTACATACACGACGACACACACACGGCTCACCGCACCAACCGGAAGCCAAAGAAGGAATTCTTACCCCCCACCACGGCTGTCTGTGTGATGGACTATGTCATGGAAACGCAAGTGCCTCCCCCGTTGCAGTCTGAGGCTTGGGCCATCTGGTATGGCCTCGTCTGCGCTGCAAGAAGGGAAGCGCGGCGTCCACTCCCAGACTAGAGCACGCCGACAGTAGTTGCATCTGTCCAGCGCCTAAAGTGGATCCAATGGGAATTAGAATCCCAGTCTGCTATTCAGTGGGGTGTTGTTTCTTCACCTGTAACAGCGCATCGCAGGGAACCGGGGGCTGACGGCCGGTGCACTAGTCTTCTGTGTGGCTCCAAAACCGCCGGGACCAGATCGCCGGGTTCGTCAGGTCAGAAGAGCGACATGGGCAGAGGCCAGCCACAGCAAGACAGAACATGTGCGACCTCGTCTGGCGGCCAGCACCAGGCAACTTGCAGTAGATCCGAGTGACAATCCCTTCGTGTCTATTTTAGCGCATCTCCTGACTCTGGCTCTGGACCTTGGCCCTGGGGTTTTAGCTACATTAGCATCGTGCTTTGTTCCGTAGGCGGATAGTCAGTCACCCATGCCACGGATGGACATGCATGTCGTCGGTCCCAACGGGAGGTAGTGATGGCTACGTGAGACGGACCAGTGTCCTCCTTCCCGGAAGTATTGTTGCATGCACCAATCGCTTCCTGGGATGTTCCGTCTGCGATGCACAGGTCCAGAGAAGGAAATCAAGATGGATGATGCAACTCGGCTTTACCTGGAGGTGGCTAGGTCACCACGCGGCGGGCAGCCCTACGTGGTGTCTTGTTGGTACACCACATACATACTGGCAAGCAGCACACATGCAGACGTGCGTAAACAGAGTCTACATATGCTTGTCAGACGGAGCATGATTGGACCCGTCGAGAGCCCTACCTCTTTGCTCCAAGCAGATTTGCGGCCTGGCAGAGGAGGATGGATGACCTGGCATGCCCTCCATTGGCGATTGCAGCCGGCTGTATTTCCGCATCTGCACCAACAATCAGCTCGATGTTACGAGTCATTTCCGGCCAGCCCAGCTCCAGCAGAGGACCCCAAGGCAACAAGCGCAAGGCTTGACCGACACCTGAGCATGGACACTCATTCACGTCGTCCCTCCCCCCGCTAACGTGTCCGCAGAAGCTTGTAAGATGCAAGACTTGCAAGTAGCTGCTTTAGCTGTTTGGTGCCCCGGGTGGTGGGGTAGAGCCACTTGGCGGTTGGCTGAGACTTGTCGGTTAAGCGCCGACATGTGCCCAAGCCCATGCAGCCCCACGCGTTGGCGACGCCCCCAATTGCTCTAGCAGCATGAACCATCGTGTGAATGGCTCAGTCGTGCTGGCATTCCACCTTTTCCCTTCTTCTCACCACTTCCGCCGGGCCAGGACTCGCCCTCGCCTTATTTTGACTTTGCTTTTTTCCTGCCATCTTTTTCAGCTGGCTGTTCCGGAGCTAAGGTTTTGCGCGGGAAGCGAGTCTCCCCATTCTCCGAGACCGCCTCGTCTGCCCCTCCAGCATGGGTCTGTTGAGTGCATATCGCCTTCTCGCCCTCTTTTTTGCTGATATCCTCTCCTCATGTTGCACAAAGACGAATTGGGTACATCTGACAGGCCAGCCAACATTTTGACTCACATTGGCTGGGGTGACGACCCTTATTCACAGAGAGGATCGGCCAGTGGATCTCACCCTGGTAGCAACTGTAATGGTTGCAAGCAAAAGTACAGATCGATAAGTACACACGTATTGACTTTAAACTCATGACACTCAACATCCATTGTTCTTGTTTCGCTGTCTCAAATGTGTCAATCGAGCTACCCACTTGTCATCTCATCTCGCACTGCGCCGTGGCTTGCGAGCGGGTACTAGTTGCGGCCGACGTCTAGACGGGAAAGCTGCACTTTTCTTTTTTGCCCCGAGGATCACAATCATCACATCCGAACAAAAAGAAACTTGAGGCTTTGGCTCCAATACCATGCTAATGCATGATAATCGTACGATAGCTTGTATCCCACCGTAGTGAAACGCCGGCGATTATTCTTGGTTCACCAACTCGCAAGGTAGAAGAGCTCATACCCTGAGATGCCGAGACGAAAAAGCCATACAGCAGCTGTTTAATTTTCCTATCTATGAATAGTTCTTGTTGCGCGTAGTTGCGCTTGGCGCATGTGACTAGAATTGCCCAAAGGTGATAGCTTTAGGTTTACCTCAGTTCACTCTTTCCGCTTTACACCACCAAGCCCAAGACATGACGAGAAAACAAGAGCGCTGAGTCTACGCAAGCCACCAGCTGCAATGTCTCACGGGTCACGTTGCCAATGGCGTAAGGCTTATGTTCAGCTTGAAGCGGGAGAAAGCGATCCCAGCCCAATAGTGTCGGGATTGTCTTAGTTGATAAGGCTCGGTACTCTATCCGACGGATGCCAATATTCAAGCGGAAGCCGGTGAGAGCCAAGAGGGCCTATCGGCGTCATGGAAAATTACGCGGTCCATCGACCCTCACCCCAAAAAAGGAATATCATTTCATATGACTGCATGATGGCGTCCGTGGCGGTAGGGAGAGGCGGCCGACACCCAGCATGAGGCTGAACGATAGATTTGGATGGCGTGGGTGTTGATTTATAAGAGATTTGACTCAGAAAGAGGAACATTGGCCTGTTCGGCTGCATGGTGGCTTGAGAACTGACAGCGCGGTCAATATATCATATTTCTTGGGGGCAATCGAATATGCACATGCGGTCGATCCTCCACTCAGATGACTTTGCTGATTGGTCTTTGTTCACGAAGTTACATGAGGGCTTGAATACCGGTGATAAAGGCGGCCGACATATTTCGGTGAAGAGCCTCGTTTGCTTTTTGGGCTTCCTGCTTTGAACATGTCAGATTTCTGCCAAGTGTCTTACGCGCCCCTTTGTTTGCGTTCGGGCTTTTCAAATTCAGCTGACCAACACACCGCTCACCGTAGTTTGGTGTGCTGGAGGAGTGATGATGTGTTTGGGTGATGATGAGGAATCCTGCTGGCTATTTGCGAGAAGGATGCTAGCTTGGATGAGATGCTGCAAGTGAGATCTGCTTTCAAACAAAGGTTTATACTTGTAATTCTGTGCTGTAGGAAAGAAGTTTGCGGAGATCGATGTCGAATGGGGGCAGTCTCATTTCATAGTCACTCCGATTTGAAGACGTAAAGCAGATTGTAGAATCTTCATCCTAAGCTTCAGCTTCCGCATGGTGGAATAGATCCAAAGGCATACATGACAGAGCTTGAGTCAGGCACGTCGTATGATGGTCTTGAATACTCATCCTCATGAAGAGATAGATATCATCGCATCAAGGAGGACTTGGATTCGTAACGAGACTCAGCACCCGGCTCCCACCGATTCCCGTATGCGACGCAAGTTAATGGCCCAGCGCTCATCTTTCTTCATGATGGTCATATTCCTATTCTACCTCCCATCACTTGTAATAGCGGAACCTCGAATCAACGGTTCTCATATATGTTCAATAAGCCAGTCAAGCATGGCGGGTGAGCCGAAACATGTCGCTCAAGCTCAATATACACGAGTTGTTTGGTCGAAATGTATAGATGACAACTGAAGTCTGGATTGATCTTCTAAATTGAAATTGTTTTTCTCCTGATGCGCCAACCGTTATAAACTTCAAAACGCCTTGTGCTTGAATCAGATAATCGTGTTTCCCCGAGCGCATATATTACTGGATGTCGTTCAGGCTCTGTTTCTTCTCGCTTCGGCCGTCCGGAGTGTACCTGAGGAAATTATCAGTCATGACTGTCGCGTGGAGGGATGAACGGTCAAGGCGTAGGCGTACTTGAGGAGCTTCTCGACGAGATCGACGTGGGTCATGATCATGCGGCGGCAGCAGTAGCGCTTCAGGCCGAGCTCATCCATGGCATCTCTGGTCAGGTGTTAGTCGTAGTCGCTCTCGGAGATCATGGAGAGACTCACCCATCGGTCTTTCGGGGATCTGAGATCAGCTGGAGATAACGTTCCCAGAGGTCGCCAGTGACCTGGTTCAGGTTAGCCTCGAAGTATCGGACATTGAAAGGGAATCGCGCACCTTTCCACAGGAGAAGCAACGAATGGGAATAATCATTTTGGCTTGCTGGTATTGTCAACAACTCGATTGTTTGTCTCAAAGAACGTGATGCTGATGGTAGCTGCATGAAAGAATTCAAGGTGGAGCCAGGCACGCAGCCGAAGTATCCCCGTAACAAAAAAAAAATCCTTATCTTATCTCAGCCAAAGTTCTCAGGCAGGTAGCGGGACCAAAATTTTGAGCTGCACCCTCCGCGACAGAAGTCGATGTCTGTATAGAATAGACCGATTCACCAAACCTTGATTTGCGATGGCTGGCTCCAAGAGCCAAAAGTCGCTTGACGACTCGAATAAGAAGCGCAAAAGGGATACAGGCGAATTCGACTTGAAGACAAAGCGCCATAGAAAAGACGAGAAGAGCAGTACCTCAAAAACTAAGGCACGGGGCGAAGTATCTGAGAATAATGGTCAATTGCAATCGGATCGCGGATCTGAAAGCAAGATTGTTGCCAAGAACAACCTCTCTTTAATTCAGCAGACTGAGGATGGCGAAGCTGGCTGGAGAGTCTCGAAACCAATGGGCGGCAGGATGTTAGATATTGATCCAATTCTAACAGCAGATGAGCAGTTCGTCCTCCCCGTTCCGCATAGTTTAAGCCATTTCTGACCGAACTAGGTGTATCATCCTGACATACAACACCTCGATACAGGTCTACTCGGCCTCTACTTCGCTACTGATTCGACGTATTTCCATCAGCACTCTTGAAAGCCAAAGCGAAAACCCGACAAGCCCTCCGACCATCACAGCGACGAGACTCTCTCTGCTCAACCCGGATTTCGTCTGGGTAGCTTGTTCAGATGGTCGCGTTTTCTTTGTCAATTGGACCCAAGCCTCCCGACCGAAGCAGAAGTTGCAAACCAAATCCGCCACGGCTAAAGCACTGGCTCCTGTCTTGATTGGGCCTCCAAAGAAAACACGAGAGGCTGTCTTAATTGTCGAATCTGATAAACAGAATCGGTTGGATATCAACGCATACCTAGGCCCCGAAGAATCAAAGCACATCCTCAACTTGAAAAAGAACGGATTCGGTCTGCAACTTTTGGACTCTTGCGAAAATGGCAAGATCCTGGTTGGTGCCATCAACGACCGTCTCTTTATTGGAACCATATCCTCTGGGCAAATCGAAACCTTGGCTCAACTTTCCTATGAATTCTTCTCCTTTGATACCCCCGACCTAATTACGTGCTTGGACACGAAGGTCACCTCTCGCAAATCGGGCTCTGAATCGCGCGTCAACATCCTTGTTGGCGGAGCAAGGGGCGCTATTCATTTATACCATGATGCGCTGTCTCGTTTACAAGCAATCAGCAACTCAAAGTCGGAAAAGGATACGATACAGGCTCAAAAGTATCACTGGCACAGAAAGGCTGTCCATTCTGTCAAATGGTCTCATGATGGTAAGCTTTGATGACCGATATTGACTACGTACCTGAGAGACTAACATTCTCTAGGCAATTACATGATCTCTGGTGGCTCAGAAAACGTTCTCGTCTTGTGGCAGATGGATACGTCGAAGAAAGATTTCTTACCGCATCTTTCTGGAAGCGTGGAGAATATTGTTGTATCCCAAAGTGGCTCCTCCTATGTGGTGCATCTGGATGACAACTCCGCAATGATCCTCTCAACTGCGGAAATGAAGCCAACTGCCTATATATCTGGCATACAATCAGCATCCGCACATGTCTCCATTCCCAAGGATCTGCTCGTACAACGTGTATGGAGCGCCCCAGAGCAAGTTAAGCGGCCGATTCCCGCAGCCATTCGTCCCACTGAGCCTTCCAAGCTTCATGTTTGTGTGGGCAATGGCCGACAGGCTGCAATGTCTGGAGAATTCTCAGCGCCCTTGCTACAGTCATTTGACCTAGAGTCTTTCACAAGCGCCAACAGGCAACCGTTGGCAAGGACACAACCAACTGATGTGAATATCACGAACAAGGGAAACCCCATCGATGAGCCTCTCATCACGCACATTTCATTTTCCGCGGATGGAAGATGGCTTGCGAGTGTTGACGAATGGAAACCAGCTGAGAGGGATGTGGACAACGTGAGCAACGAACAAAAAAACCAGTTCATCAGAGAGAGACATGAAGTCTATCTGAAGTTCTGGGAAGTTGGGGCGAGTGACGACTCAGCCGCCTTGGTCTCCAGAATCAATGCCCCCCACGCCACAAGCCAACCGGAGTCAGTTCTTGACTTGGCAGCAAACCCAGTCTCATCTAGCTTTGCTACAATTGGAAGTGACGGGATGGTCCGGGTATGGCGCCCTAAGGTACGACAACAAAACGGCATTGTGGCTAAGTCCGCCAACGGCAAGGATGCCTACACGTGGAGCTGCTCGCAGGTGATTCCTGTTGGGGAGGTTTTTGGACAAGACGCCTCGGTTGACTTGGTGAACGCCACAAGCATAAGTGAGCCCCAGGGTGCAATCGCCTTCTCCGAGGATGGTTCAACCATATTTGCAGCCTTCCAATCTACGGATAGTGGCGTAGTCTACGTTATTGATGCAGCATCTGGCGAAGTTGTGAAGATCCTCGAAGGGCTGTGGAACGGCAGGATGCGTTCGATCAGGGCTTTGGGAACATTCCTCATTGTTTTATCCGATCAACTCCGTGTTTACGATGTTGTGGGTGATGAGTTGAGATATGGGATCGAAATTCCAACGGGTGGACCTGAGAGCTCGCTTTTAAACATGGCCGTTGATCAGGCCTCCGGCCACTTCATTCTTGCCGTCCCTGCTGGTGCCTACTCAAGAATAGGCGTTTTCGACCCTGAGCAGTCTGAGCCACTTCTCGTGCGCAACTTGCCTCACCGGATTGTCAGCCTAGTGTCGACACCAAACCAGAGTGGGTTTGTAGCTGTCGACGATGCCGCCCAAGTCTGGACGATATCAGAAGGATCCGACCCATCATCTCTTGCTGTGGTGCAGCCTTTGGATGACCTACGCTTGGATGAAGGATCCGAATCTGTTGATGTGCCCGAAGAAACAAACGATGAGCCACAAAGCGAAGACGAAGACGAGCAAGAAAAAGCCGACCAAGACGTCGAAATGGAAGATGATGACGATGATACCTACTCCAGTGTTGTGGTATCCCAGCACCTTGCAGACATCTTTGATGCTGCGCCGGCTTTCGCCGCACCGTCCATCGAGGACATGTTTTACAAGGTCACGGGGCTTCTCGCAGCCAAGCCGTTGGTGGCGGAACAGCGATGAGAATTCATGCGTTGTCAAAATAACCGAGAGAACCCCCCATCTGGTTGGTAGAACTCGATGCCGCTATCATCAAGTGTGGGGAAGCTTGTTTTCTCTCGGAGTGAAGAGGGTGGAGGGGCACGCCGATTGCGCAATCTGCTGGTAGCTAGTACGCCATATATTCCCGAAGCCATGTGGGATCGCCTGACTTGTAAATAAAACCTGCTACAAATAGTTGAGGAGCAGATAATTCATATTGTTGTCTTCGCGCCACAATACCACCCATCCATCTCATAGTCTCTGATCCGATCCTGAACCCTGCAAGACATTACTAACACGAGGCAACTATGTCCTTTACCTCTGTTCCAATTCTAGATCTGTCCCAGGCCAATGACCCGGCAACGAAGCCGGAGTTTCTCACCCAGCTCCGGCATGCTTTGTTGGAAGTTGGGTTTCTCTATTTGAAGAATATAGGCGAGGCAGAAGAGCTTTTCCAAGATGTGATTAGCCTTGGCAAGGCCTTCTTTGATATCCCACGGGAAGAAAAGTAAGTGGCTCGCTTATTACCCACGCGAAGTAGTACATACATACTAGCAGGCGCTGATCAGGAATCGTCCCATGCCTAGGCTGAGGATTGAAATGAAGAATGCCCGCTCATTCCTGGGCTACTCCCAGCTGTCCGCAGAGATCACAGCCGGCGAAATTGACCATCGCGAGCAGCTGGATCTCGCTACCGAGCATGCCCTCCCCTCAGAAGGATCCCCCCGGCACCACAACCTGCACGGCCCCAACCAGTGGCCGGCGGAGGAGGTGATCCCCGGGTTCCGCAGCGCCTACACCGAGTACATGAGGCGGATGGGCGACATGTCCATCTACTTCACCTCGCTCATCGCCGAGGCCATCCTCCTGCCCCGGACTGCCTTTGACAAGTACTTTGACGCGGACCAGCACCACAAGCTCAAGATTGTAAAGTACCCGGACCTCGGGGAGCTTGGCAAGGAGGGCCAGGGCCAGGGCCAGGGTGTTGGCCCTCACAAGGACAGCATGCTGTCGAGCTACCTGCTGCAGGCGTCGAGCCACAGGGGGCTGCAGGTGCAGAACGTCAAGGGGGAGTGGATCGACTGTCCGCCTGTCCCGGGGACGGTGGTGGTGGCCATCGGTCAGGGCCTCGAGGCGCTGACCCAAGGCGTGTGCGTCTCGACGACGCATCGCGTCCTGTCGCCCGCGGCGGGCTCGGGCCCTCGGTTCTCGATACCGTTCTTTCAAGGGGTGGACCTAGACACGGACTTTGACGAGCTGGAGAAGGTCGGCGTTGGCGCCGTCCCCGACAGGATCAAGGAGCTGCGGAGGGGGATCGTCGAGCGCAACGGTGGCAGGCTCGACGATGTGGAGTTCACCTTCAGGACGGGGGGTGCTTCCAAGACGCTGGGCGAGGCCACTCTGCGGAATAGGGTCAAGAGCCATCCGGACGTGGGCGAGCGGTGGTATCCCGATATCCTCGAGAGCATTCGCGAGGAGCAGGCGGCCCTGGCCAAAGATAAGAAGGGCACGAGCAGTAACCCGGGAATCGACGTCCCTCCTCAGGCTGTAGAGGCCCACTGAGATAGGAGCCTGACCGGAGAGTTGTCGTCATCATAGCTAGCATCATTTATGTCTTTCTTGATTTTTTTTTAGGTTCTTGATCACATTTGCATCCGTAGCTCTTCGTTACATTCAAAAACGCCTTGCTCTATACGTGCACAAACTCCCCTGGGTTCAATTTCATGCACACACCCACCACCACGTGTCTTGCGCCAATCGCCATGCCATCCCCCCGTGCTTCTAACATCAAATGTTACTGCTCCTCTGAGAAGGAGGGGAACGCTTCGGCAAGCGTCTTGTTATGCTTGTTCTCGGCGTGCTCGGTCAGACTGTTTTATGCACTGGTTAGTCGGCTCCTGGACGAACTCGGCTATTGGACGGAGGAACGAGGGGATTTTTCGCACGCAGGGGCCTTGGTGGTCTTGAGAAAGGTCGACTTGCAGACAACGCACTGGATGTCGCACGCCTGCTGGTTCTGTGTGGGTGGAAGAGTGTCAGTCAATCCGGGCCGGATGTCTCAGTTGGAGCAGAGTTGACGTACGGCCTTGAGCTGCGACTTGGCAGTCTTGCCCTCCTTCTGGGCGCGCTCGCGCTTCTGCTGTGCCTTGGCTCCCTGATAGTCATAGGATTTGTGAGCAATTTGGAGAGCACAGCCAAGCGACTAGTCGGAACCACTCACGTTACCCATGGTTGCGGTGATTGAAATCTCGGTAGGTTCGGAATGGCGAGAGAGAGAAAATCGTACTATTAGTCACAAGCGACACGAACAAGAGCGGCGGTTGACTGGCTCGGGATGCAAAAGAGATGGAGGGAGTATCTTGCGAGAGGAAAAAAAAAGCGGATCTGCACAGAGTGGTCAGGTTTGGTCCGTCCGTCTTCAGGCGGTACCGCCCGTTTCACGTAGTGGGCAGTGGGTAACATCTGCTGCCCGCCGAATCGAGAACTCGCCGCGGAGACCGGGAGCTGGACCCTGGAAAATAATCGCCTAAACGCCCAAGACTCTAGGTCGGTATCACCCGAGAGCTAGCATCCAAGTCCCGTCTCCATTTAAATGACCTGTAGAAGAGGCAACTGGGCGATATTAGAAGACATGAGACATCCAATTGAGGGGTGGTTATAAGCAGACGACTTTCCCCGTTGACTAGAATGATACGTCAGCACAAACCGAGATGAGACGATAATATGTGGTGTCTTATTACTTCGGTATTTATCATATGCCCTCAGCTGGTCGCAGGCTCGATTTCCGAATAGTTTCCCGAGTTATATCCCTTGCTGCCTGGGTGCGACATTGGGATGACAGGCAGGAGTATTGAATTCTTAATGTCCTCGCGAGGTTTCCACGGCTGTGACGCTGTGCCGGGGTCGGTTCCTTCAAGACACCTCATCAACATCGAAGCAGCGATTGACGAAGAGCAAAAGTGGCTTGTCACTGCCCCTTTTCGGGCCCGGGGCGTCTTTCCCCTCTCCCCTCCCTCCCTCCTTCTCTCTTCTGGAAAGCGCATCGTAGCATTTCTTATCTGCATCTTAATCCACGGAATGGTGACAACACGGGCCTCGAGCAGGAAGGTGCGATCCAGACAGCAGCTGAAAAGTGCTTAATACGCGGCAGGAGGGCCGCTGATTGGGCCGGGACGATGCAGGTGGGGTGACGTCCAACCTCCAACTCCAGCGCAGTCCCGCCCAGCACCTAACATTAGAACCCAACACCGACTCCCGAGGCCTTCCCTATCTGTCCTTCATCGGCATATACCGTGTCCATTGCTGGGATACTGCTCATGTCTATCATCACCTACCTAGCAAAGGGCTCCGTCCATCGTGTCAATTGACAGTCACTTGCAGCTCACCGTGGTAGTATTGCGCCGTTGCTGTGCCTGCCATTCAACTCGTGGAATCTTGGCGGCCCACCTCCGTCTGCACTGCATGGTAACCTGCATTCTCACGCCAACGAACAGCTCATCGTCAAGATGATCTCTGCCGATACAATTTCCAAAAACGAGTTCGATCAACACCTGGCCCAGTATCCCTCTGTTATTGGAGCCGCTTCAGCCTCCAAACCGGGTATGTTGATCCTGCTCAAGTAGACGATGAGCTTAAGGCACATTTAAAGGGGCGTCCGCGAGAGACCAGCTTAGAATTGACGCTTTTTTTTTTCGTAGCCAAACCAGGCCAGAAATCTTTGCAGGAGCTCGACCAATATCGCTACGATACGGCGCCCGGCTTATTTTCACCAGATGGCGACGGCTCTGTCATAGACCTTGAGGCTATCAGGGCTCTGGTTGAGTGGAAACTGTACGTATGCATGACGCCTCGTGAAATGCAGCCATCCTGCACTGCATCTCTCGCAAAGACAGTGTCATTTTCGAATGCTGCTGAAAGCAGTTCATTCTTGCATCTAGGGCTGTTGATCCGCAGCACGGCAGCGGCTCAGAGTCTCCCCGATGTTGTAGTACATGCACAGTCCACCCTGAGGAACCTGATTTACCTGCATCCACCCTATGCACCCATACCTTTACGGATATCTCGTTTTTGGATGCTAACTGCTTGATAGTCGCCATGGGAAATTTCGTCCAACCCTGATGAGCCTGGTTTCCTCCAATCCCGACGACTTTGTAAATGAGATCGTACAGGAGGCAACTCAGCTCTACCAGGAGACCAAGTCAATCCCTGCAAGTCTCGCTAAATGGACCAAGCTGAAAGGGATTGGCCCCGCAACCGCCTCTCTTTTGTTATCTGTCCACGATCCGCAGCATGTCATTTTTTTCTCGGACGAAGCCTTTTACTGGTTATGCGCCCAGGGGGGTAAACCCTCCATCAAGTATAACGCCAAAGAGTACCAAGAGCTTTGTCAGCACGCAGAAGCCCTTAGAGGTAGACTCGGAGTATCTGCCACGGACATTGAGAAGGTGGCCTTTGTCTTAATGAGACCCCCTGGCAACGATGCCAAGCCAGACTCCTCAGGCACCAAGCCAATCGGTTCAAAGTCCGTCTCAGCGAAGCGAAAGGAAACCGTTGGCCCTGACCCGACGACTAAGGCGACCGTCAGGCGATCGAAGAGAATCAAATCGTAGACTGGCGTCCCATCCACCAACCATAACGTAGGGGTTTCAAGAAGGCAATATATTGAAAAACCGTTAGAATACCCCACAATTCCGGTGGGAGTTGGTACTGGGGGCAGCTAAAACGTCATGGTCCGTGGGCTGGGCAGGCTTACTGCCCTCACCACCCTAAACCCCCAATTGGTTCCATGGGTTACGTGCTCTGCCTGTGCTCACCTCCGGCTCCGCGGCCCGCACTCGCGAAACTCAAATCTCTGTGGGTGCTCACTACCTAGATGTTGTTCATCATCAAAATGACGATTGCTTCTAGAGATGGTTCAAGAAACATCTCCGCTGCAGGCAAATACCCGTCGGATTCGAGTTCTAATCTGAACCGTTCGAGAAGCCTGCCCCCCAGGCCTATCTGCAATGTCCATGCTCGTATCTCATGAGAGATGCATCGGTGACATGGCTTGGCGTTCTGTACATCACGCACTGCAACCCATGGGGTGTCAAGAGACAAATAAAACATAGCCCAACTACTTCATATGAACTGTGTGCCAATCTTTCTCTCTCTCAGACCAATGCCTCAAAACTTCGCTTGCTTTATTGATGTACCCTCCCTGCCTTGCTCCTCATTCCTCTGGGCTTGATTTCCCTTCTGCCCCACAAAGTCACTACTGCCGCTCTTACAGGGCCGCAAGAATCCCTCTATTCATTTTTTCTTATTAAAAGGAATATCATATCATATGCCCTTGCCGAGGGACAATCTATCTCAATATGCCCCTTCTATCCCCAGACCTCGGGTGTCCCCCTCCACGCCGACATTCCAAAGTCAGAGATATGCTAATGCGTGGGAAAGACGACACACTGGTTGCTTCATGGAAGCTGCTTCTAGAACAGCTCAGATCTGAGATCGAGCTCACCCTTAGGGCTGGACCAGCAATCTTCCCTTCGCTCCATTTCGACGATCTCAAGAATAAATCCCGGGCCAAGGACTTCTCCTGTCAGCTTCGGAGAAGTGGCGGAGGTGTATTACGTGGAGTAATCTCCGAGAGCGAAGCTAGAACATGGAATAGCGAGCTTCAGGCTTACCTCGCAGGCGACGATTCACTTGCCAGCAGTTCTGCACAGGACCCTCAACTCTACGATGTCTACTGGTCTCCAGCGCAGGTCAAATGCAGAGCCCACCCAAATATCCTCGCTTCACAAAAGTTTCTGATGAGTATTTGGAGCTCGTCCAATCACACGGCCGGCATTTCGCACAATTTCCCCCTCAGCTATGCAGACCGTATCCGCTATAGGAAATCCTCAGACTCGAGCTTTCTTTTGAGGTCTTCCATAGAAGGAGACAGTGCTGATCGCTGGTGCCCAGATGATTCTCGTGAAGCATTCACTTATAAGAAAATCTGGGAGGGGAACTGGCAAAATTACGACCCGTGGGACAGCACCACGAGGATCCAGACCCCGAAGCACTCTGCCCACAACCGAAATTCAAACTCAATGTTTCGCATGTTCCAAGGATGGCTTCCTCTGAACCCTCTACCCGAAGGCCAGGGTTCGCTGCGTCTGTGTCCGATGCTCCAGGCCACCACTGCCTATGTGCTGCTTCGCCCTCTCTTCTCTCCAATCAATTCCTCTCCCACCTCCCCGGAATTCTTGTCGGCGCACAACTGGACCATGAATCCTCCAGGCTCATCTTCAATCCCTCCCGCCTCCTCTTATAGGCAGGAGCTAAGCAACGCCCTTCACCCGCATCTTCAGCTCTCCAAGACCATGGCTCGCATCCCGACTCTCAATCCCGGAGATTATTTTGTCTGGCACTGCGACTCAATCCACTCAATTGAGCACACCAAAGGAGCAGGGGGTGATGCCGCCATCATGTACCTCCCAGTCTGCCCGCTGACAGAGTCAAACGCCCTGTATCTCGCTCGCCAGCGCAAATCCTTTCTCCTGGGACAGCCCGGACCAGACCTGGCCAACTATGGAAAAGGAGAGAGCATCCTCATGGATCGCCCGGGAGTCCAGGAGGTCAACGAAGTGGGAGGAGAGAGGGGACTTCGCGCCATGGGACTATTGCCCTGGGACGAGGACGACGCGGCCGATGATCTGGAGGAGGACCTTTTGGAAACGGTGAACAACATCTTGTTCCCCGACAGGTATCAAAATTAGGTTGACTGGGAAAAATTGTGTGTATCTAATAGTAATGTCATTTAATTGCAATTCTGGGTAGTTAATTTTGAATATTCATCAAGGCTTGGGACAATCTCAACGAAGTGCGGATGGATGCTTAGAGAATTCTTCTCGTGGTTGAAAAAAAAAGAATTATACAGAAATGATTATAGGCGACTGGGTTCAGCAGCCAAAGACGCATAATACAATACAGCCTTATATCGTTTCATAATCCGGATCGGATCTTCACCCTGTGGCAATGAAACGATCGTCCCCTCCCTCCACTTTTCTTGCTACCTTCTTCCCTCTCCACATCATCTTTTGTTTTTAAGACGGCTCTGACCCCCAATCAGATTGACCCCCGGACTAATATTCTCTCGGCTAATACCACGGCAAGCCAGGGATCAGCAAGACGGCAGATCAAGCTAGCGATCGGTTCGCCAATAAACGCTTTATTTAGCCTTTGAGCTCTCGTAGTCCTTCTGGGTCTCGGCGTACTTGTCGCTGAGCTCGCTGTACGCCTTGTTGAGCTGCTCGCTCTGCTTCTTGAGGTTCTGGAGGTCCCGCTCCTTCTTCTCGAGCTTGTCCTTGAGGGACGCGAGCTCGCCGGGCTTGCCGGCGACGGCGAGCTTCTCGCTCTGGACGGTGTCGGACTTGGTGGTGCCCTCGTAGGACTTGACCTTCTCCTCGAGGCGCATGACCTCGAGGATCATGACGTAGGTGCGGTTGAGGATGAGGGAGAGGAAGAGGGTGAAGCCGCAGAGGTACATGTTGCGCTGGGAGTAGAACTTGCGGGCCTGGACCTCGAGGCGCTCGTGGCCCATGACGCCGGCACTGGTTGACAAGAAGATATGTTAGCAGGGTGGGGATTGGTGATGGGGGGGGGCATGTGAGTGAAGCTGGTGTGACGTACCCTCCCTTATTAGCATTCTCCGTAGCGGCAATGAGCTCGATCTGGACGCGGTACACCCGGTTGACGCTGTCGAGGAAGAGGATGAGAATGAAGACGAAACAGATCTTCATCCAGTACTGGATCTTGGCGACAAGGGGGCTCTCGGAGATGAAGCTTTGGAAGTCTTGTTAGTTTGCACGTGTGTGGACGCCGGAACCGGGTTAGGGACATACGTGAAGATTTTGCGTTTGAGGGTGAAGGGGAGGGGCACGATGAGGAGCATGAACAGGGCCATCTCCAGCATCAGGAGCATAAACACCTGTGATCAGTTAGCAAGGAGCGTCCGCCTCTGGGCCGGGCATGCGAGGTGAGCGAGCATACGAGAGTGTAGTAGAGCGTCATGGTGAAGGCGGGGCTGGATCTGCCAGCAACGAACGCAGACAATTGATCGGTGCTCTGGAGACGAGAAGCGTGCGGACTGAAGTTTTTGGGGGTTGTTGGCAGAAACTGATGTGGAATCGGAGAGAGATGGGGAGAGTGTCGTTGTCTCAGAAGCTTGCGTGAGGCTGGAGGCTTTTGTAGGAGCTCGTCTGGGCAGGCATGCAAAGGCCACCACCTGAGGCCAGATCAACAACGTCATCGCCAGTGGTGGCTGAAGCTGTCGAGGTGGGGCAGGATGGTCCCACCAGCGAGCTGCTACCAGGCAACTAGCGCTAGTGGGCACTTGCCTTTGCTGGGTCCGGCACCTCTACCCTGCGGAAGGACTTGGCAGCCAGGCCCAGAACCAGAGGCCACGACAGCCGACAGCTCGAACCTTGTTGAACAACACAGCCAGTCGGGATATTGCATGTTGTCCACAACATACCACGCATTATTATCATGCCAATCTGCAGCAAACTGGTCTTCCTAATTATACAGAATTGTCTAAATTAATGAAAGTGAATGATAAAACTATATTTCAAAGCTAGTACGGGGAAACACCTTATTATGTATAGAAAAAGCCAGAGGTCTTCTCACTGCGGGCTGTTGTCCGTGGCACGGCGCCTTCTCCCAGAGCCCAAGGCATACACTTCATCGTCCTTGAACTTGGCTGGTCGCCTCCGCTTCCGAGTGGACTTCTCTCTCCTGTCGTAGTCATCTTCGCTCTCCTCGTCCTCGTCCTGAGAGGACCCTTCATCGTCCTCGTCGCCTGCCGATGACTCGCCTCCCTCCATCTCAGACTGTTGTTCCTCATCGCTGTCGCTGATGACCTTGTGTTGGCTGAGCCGCGGCCTCTTGGCCTTGGGCTCCTCTGCCAAGGCCGAGCTCTCAGACTGTGAGGTGGAAGTCTCCCGCCCGGGTGCGCGTGGCCGTTGCGTCTCCTTGCTGGATTTTGCCGGTCTGCGAGTGGTTGCCTTTGGCGCTGCACCGTTGCTCGACCCCCCCTTCGCATTGCGCGACCGACGTGCTTGCCGGGCTGTCTCTGCAGATCCGCCCCTGTTCTTCTTGCGGGGACTTCTATTGTTATCCGAACTCGGTGCATATTCCTCTTCCGTATGCTCTGATTCAGCGCGCTTTCGCTTGAGGCTTGGTCGCTCTGGCTCTTCCATTGGGAAATCCTCATCTGATTCCGAGTTGCTGGCCTCGTCGGAGCTGTGGTTGCTGCTCTCCTCATCCTCGTCCTCGTCCTCGTCATCCTCATCCTCATCATCGTCCTGTTTTCGCTTCTTTCTCCTCTTCGCTTTGTCTGAACCAAGACCGAAGTCCTCACCGTAGTCGAACAGAAGTTCTTCCCACGGCTTGATGTTGCGCTTTGCGCGGAAAGAGATGCGGAAACATCCGTTGACTAGCAAGATCTTTGGGGTGACATTACATTTTTGACTACTGCCATCCGCGTGGTTGACGTAGCGGCTCAGGTTTCCATACCTCGCTCCGTCGATCCAGACATTGCATTCTTTCAGAAGGGTAAAGTTGAAAGAGAGAGGTTTCGTCCCATCAAAGAGATTTTGCCTCCTAATGTATCGGCGATCTCCCTCCTCACCAGACACCAGCTCGCCGACGTATTCAATGATGAATTCATCTTTGCGAATAGGTTCAGACGAGTAAAGTCCATAACCATGGAACTGACTTTTCCCCAACACGAGATCCTTTGTAGACCCGCGCTGCAGCGAACAGTTCTGGCATCCAGTGGCGAGCAGCTCTGTCTTCCGCGCATTCTTGGGATCCGCACGTTCGAAAGCGCCACAAGAGTGGCATAGGTCAGGGTCGCACTCCCGGTTCAGCTGGACACAGATGCATTCCTCGCCCTTCATGTGGCAAGGCTTGCCGCGTAAACCGCAGTCGCATCCTGTGAACTTGTAGGCACAGTTCTCAACAGTGCACCCGCAAAACTTCTCACAGAAATGCCCCTTTTTAGCACAGGGGCATTTGTCGTTGCTTGGGGAGCACGGTCCATCGTGGTCGCAGCCACGGAGGGCGCAGATATCATCAATATCTCGGTTAATATGATCCCAGTTAGGTGTATGATACCTGCCCGCCCCGGGCCGTCGAGAAAGCTTATGTTCAAAACGATTATACCAGGATAAGTTGGGGACCTCGTCGTCTTCCTCTGAGTCATCGTCATCTTCTGTAACCCGGTTCGCTGGTGGTTTGGGGAGTGTGATGCCGAGAGTCTGGTATTCCCGATGGACCTCGAAACAGTCGCGGTCTAGCAGAACCGCGGCTTGGCATATGGGGTCAGAGGAGATCAGGCTGCAGGAGGCAGACATGAAGATAGTGCGAAGAACATTTCGCTCTGCATCGGTCCATGTACTTCCAGAAACCCCATTCGCAACTGGGTTGTACGTTATGTAGCACTTGCGATCGCATGAAGGGCTTTCTAGTTGCGCTCCATTTGTCATCTTATTACTGTTCTCCAGCATCTTCCGACCGTTTTTCTCTGTGAGCCGGCGAGCCAGCCAACCCTTTTCAAGGGCGAATCGCTTTCTCTCATTGCCGTCCGTGAAGAAGCCATGTTCGCAGGAGTGTTTGAAACAGATTAAGCAACCTAAAGAGGAGTATGTTTGAAGGGTCGATTCCAACCCTTTGAAAGGAGTTTGAGGGCTCGAGGGGGAAGACTCATCAGAATTTTCTTCAGAATCAACAAAAGCCTTGAGTTCTTTGTCATAAAGCAGCACCTCAAGAAGGCTAACCTCTCTGATTCTGATGCCATGTCTGGTCTTCTCCTCTCCGAAAACACGTTTCCACGCTGCCTGGAAAATAGTTCCGGCTTCAAAGTTCCCCACATCAAAGTCCTTTCTGACGCGGGTAGTTTTGATGGCTTCGTACTGCTCAGTTGTCAGAGGCTTTTCGGGACCCTTGTTATGCAGCTGTAGGAGAAGTGTCCATTTATTCAGGTCAGGGAGCGCCAGCTCTTTCAACCAAGATTCCAGGTACATCGAGATTGAAACAACCCTCTCGTAGTGAATAATAGTAGGGCGTTTCTCGTCCAGTTTAATGGAATCAAGCCCGTGGGAAGCCTCCGAATTATCAAGGTCCTTGATGTACCCTTTCCACTTCTTTTGCTTGCGAGGGGTATCAAGATCACCTTTGTGTGGATAAAATGCCATCGGAGTCTGGGGCGCTACAACATTATTACCAATCTGCACTGGATGATTGAAATAACGTGGGACTGGCGATTTGACGGTTTTGATTGGGGTTACCTTCATGGCATCCCTCTGATCCTTGCGTTGGAGCTGTTTGTCCATATTCTACCCACGATTGTCAGCCTCAGCAGATTGATCCTGGGCACTTGGGATTTTACCTTGATCTTGATCTTCAAACTCATCCCACCCTTTTCGGGTGGAGGATCATCACAAAGCGCGTCAAAAAGGTCCCTGCCAGTATGCACACGTCGATCGACCACCGTCGTCGACTCGACCGTGTACCTGGCCAGTTGATCGTGCGTCTTTCCCATCTCCTTTTTATATTCACCCAAGCGCGAAATAAGAACAGGTAAAGGCAGCATCTTGGGCGACCCAGTTTTGAGTGAGTAACTCGGGAGAGGCACCTTAGTTCTCGAAATACCATCCGACGGCCCGTTATTCCCGTAGGTCTGCTGCGGCTTCGGCTTCTTGGGTGACTTTCTGGG